AATTGAAGAACAGAGAAGACGAATCCAGGATTTGGAGCGACAACTTGCGGAGGCGAGGTTGGGCGTTCAATCCGAAGAAGGAGCGGAATCTGAGGATTCATCCGATGATGAAGAGGAGAACGTAAACCCTTTCGGGGTTCTGAACTAGGGGCGGAATCAAGAAGTACGACCTGGAAATCAGCGTTCTTCACAAAATTTCGGAATGAAGATCGAGATTCCCGAGTTTAATGGTAAGGCTCATCCTGATGAGTTTATTGATTGGTTGCTTACGGTAGAACGGATTTTTGATCTTAAAAACCTAACTGAGGGGCAAAAAGTGAAGTTAGTGGCTATCAGGCTGCGAAAACATGCTTCGATTTGGTGGGAACACGTAAAAAAACAACGCGCTAGAGAGGGCAAGCCGAAGGTGGATCGCTGGGAGAAGATGAAAAAGTTATTGCAGAAAATTTTTTTGCCTACCCATTATAGGCAAGAGGCGTTTATCGAATATCATAACGTCAAGCAAGATGATAAAATAGTTGAGGAATTCACAGAAGAATTTGATCGCTTGCGGATGCGTTGTGATGTGGCAGAGGAAGACGAGAAGCAGACGATTGCACGATATCGGCGGGGCGCGATATGAGATCTACGATGTTGTCCAATTGCGTGAGATTGGACATATGAGGATGTGTGCGGACTAGCCCTAAAGGTGGAGGGGCAGTTTAAAAGAAAAAGCAGTAAGTCCAAGTGGTCTAGCAGCGGTTCTAAGTGGACAGGCAGCAGTTCCAAGTGGTCAGATAAAGAGTCCCGGGGGAAAGCAGGGAGTTCTTCAGCTCCGGCAGCAGTTAAGGGCGCTGGTTCAAAATCTGCAACAAAAGGAGAGCAGGGTAGTGCTGGATCTAGCAGGGGAGGAGCTGCAAGCAAGGGATGTTTTAAGTGTCAACGACTCGGGCATTTTGCTGCTAATTGTCTGAACCGACAGTTTGTGACACTTGTAGATAATCCAACTTTTGATGAAGACCCAACTTATGATGAATCTGAAGGCGAGCAAGCAGATGCAGATCCAGATCCGGAGGACATTGTCTATGCCGATTCTGGTGAGTCTTTAGTTGTGCGTCGGGTTTTAAATATTGCTGAGGTAGATAATGAATCGTGGCTCAGGCATAATATATTTCATACTAAGTGCACTAGTGGGGGAAAGGTGTGCAGTATGATCATTGATGGGGGAAGTTGTGAGAATGTAATATCTACCATTATGGTAGAAAAGTTGGGGTTGAAAACTGTCGAACATCCTCAGCCATATAAGCTGTCATGGCTTAGGAAGGGGAATGAGGTAAAAAGGAGCAAGAGGTGTTTAGTGCAGTTCTTGATTGGGAAGAAATATACTGATGAAGTGTGGGGTGACGTAGTTCCAATGGATGCTTGTCATATTCTGTTGGGGAGGCCTTGGCAGTTTGACAGGAAAACACAGCATGATGGATTAAAAAATACATACACCTTCAAGAAGGATGGCCGGACCATTACTCCGGGTCCTTCAGATTTGAGAAAAGAAGGGAAAAGTAATATGCTTTCCAAATCAGAGTTCCAGGAGGAGGCGGTGAATGCCCCAGAGCTTTTTGCTGTCGTAGTCGTGAAGCAGAATCTTGATAGTCCAGAAATTTCAACTCAAGTTCTGCCTATACTTGAGGAGTTTGCTGATGTCGTACCAGAGGAATTGCCACCTGGATTGCCACCCATGAGGGACATTCAGCATTGTATAGATCTCGTTCCAGGAGCTACTATTCCTAATAAGGCAGCTTATAGAATGAATCCTAAGGAGCATGAGGAGATGCAGAGGCAAGTGCAGGAACTATTAGAAAAAGGTGCAATTCGAGAGAGCATGAGCCCTTGTGCAGTGCCAGCTTTGTTGGTTCCTAAGAAAGACGGGTCGTGGAGAATGTGCGTGGATAGCAGAGCTGTTAACAAGATCACGATCAGGTATCGCTTTCCTATTCCGAGGTTTGATGATTTAATTGATCAACTGCATGGAGCGACTATCTTTTCAAAGATAGATTTGAGGAGTGGATATCATCAGATTAGGGTGCGTCCTGGAGATGAGTGGAAGACCGCTTTTAAAACTCGAGATGGTCTGTATGAGTGGATGGTGATGCCTTTCGGGTTGTCTAACGCACCGAGCACCTTTATGAGATTGATGAATCAGGTGTTTCGTCCTTTTATTGGCCAGTTTGTCGTCGTATATTTCGATGATATTTTGGTTTATAGTGTATCGACTGATCAACACTTGCAGCATTTGAGAATGGTGTTCGAGACATTGAGGGAACAGAAATTATATGCTAATACCAAGAAGTGTCACTTCTTGACTGATCGTGTGACCTTTTTGGGCTATATAGTAACTAAGAAAGGCATTCATATGGATCCAGCTAAGGTTGAGGCTATTACAAATTGGGAGATTCCGAAAAATATTCATAAGGTATGTAGCTTTTATGGGCTTGCGTCTTTTTATCGGAGATTTATTTGGGATTTCAGTACTATTATTGCATCTCTGACGGATTGTCTGAAAGGAAGTAAATTTGTGTGGACTAAGGAGGCAGAAGCTGCCTTTCAATTATTAAAGAAGAAGGTGACTGAAGCACCTGTTCTCGTGCTTCCTGATTTTAATGAGATTTTTGAGGTGCATTGTGATGCTTCAGGTGTTGGTATTGGGGGTGTCCTAAGTCAAAAATGTAAACCTGTGGCATTTTTTAGTGAGAAGTTGAACGAGGCGAAAAGGAAATATTCAACTTATGATAAAGAATTTTATGCTATTGTGAGGAGTTTGGAGCATTGGAGGCACTAACTTATTTCGAAAGAGTTTATCTTATTTTCTGATTATGAAGCCTTGAAATATATCAATGGACAGCACAAATTGAATGCAAGGCATGCAAAGTGGGTGGAGTTCCTTCAAGTTTTCAGTTTTTCCATCAAGCATAAGGCAGGAGTGCTAAATAGTGTAGCAGATGCATTGAGCAGAAAACACTCTTTGCTGTCTACGATACAGGTAAAAGTTCTAGGCTTTGACACTTTTAAAGATTTATATGTTGATGATCCTCATTTTGGGGATATCTGGAGGAAGAGCAAAACGGAGTCTTTTCAGTAATTTCAGATCGTGAAGGGTTACCTATTTAAAGGTAACAGATTGTGCATTCCTCAATGTTCTTTGAGGGAATCTATTATTATTGAGGGACATGCGGGCGGTTTAGCTGGGCACTTTGGCGTGGATAAGACGAAGGCCTTGTTGAGTGAACACTTTTATTGGCCTCGGATGGAGCGTGACGTGACACGTTTTATAGAGAGGTGCAGGGTATGTCATGTGGCAAAGACCAAGAGTACTAATGCAGGATTGTATATGCCTCTACCTGTTCCAGTTGCGCCGTGGGAGGATGTCAGTCTTGACTTTGTCTTGGGTTTACCAAGAACGCAGCGGAGTAAGGATTCAATAATGGTGGTTGTTGATAGATTCTCGAAGATGGCCCACTTTGTCCCGTGTAGCAAGTCCTATGATGCTTCACATGTTGCTTGATTATTTCTGCAGGAGATTGTTAAGCTGCATGGAATTCCTAAGTCCATTACCTCAGATCGTGATGTGAAGTTTGTAAGTCACTTCTGGCGCACTCTTTGGAGGTACATGGGTACAAGTTTGAAGTTTAGTTCATCTCATCATCCTCAGACTGATGGTCAAACAGAAGTTGTCAATCGAAGCTTAGGGAATTTGCTGCGGAGTTTGATTGGAGATAATCCGCGACAGTGGGACTTGGCATTGCCTCAGGCGGAATTTGCATATAACAGGTCAGAGAACCGAACTACTGGCAAGACTCCTTTTGAAGTGGTTTATGGGCGTAATCCAATTACTCCCTTAGATCTCACACCGATACCAGTTCTCAAGTAATTAAGTTCGGAAGCTGAAGAACATGTAAAGCATATCAAAGAGCTGCATTCCCAGGTCCATAATCAGATCAACAGGCAGAACATGAAGTATAAGCAACACGTGGATATACGCAGGAAAAGAGTTGTCTTCAAGGAAGGTGATCTAGCTTGGATTCACCTTAGGAAGGAACAATTTCCAACGGGTAGGTTTGGCAAGCTTCAACCTAGAGCTGATGGACCTTTCAGAGTTTTGGAGCGAATTAGTGACAATGCTTACAAGATCGAATTGCCGGGTAAGTATAATGTATCCGGAACTTTTAATGTAGCAGATTTGTCACCTTACTACCCTGAAGAGGAAGAAGATCCTAAGGAGATTGACGACGACAATGAAGGCGAAGCAGATTCGAGGACGAATCTTTCTCTAGCAAGGGAGGATGATGCACCTAGGGGGAGACTGGTGGACCAGTTATGCGACTGGACGAATCGGCGGGTTTGAAGTCAACGATATTAGATTGAGTTCAAATTTGGTCGGCTGAAGCGAAACGGCGTGCTGATCAATACTCACCGCCTTTGGCCGTGATTAACGATGGATTTTCGCGATTCGAGATTGTTTAGATGAATTTTTCTATTTTTTTAGTATTTTTTTATGGGTTAATTTAGAAGAAGGCAGTTTCGTAATTTTGCGTTTTGATGTTTACTAATCCTAGTAGGGTTAGGTTTGGGGATATATAAGCTTGTTTTAGGGTTTCCTTTGAGTAGACTTTGAATATTTTGATTTGATAATCATATTTGGAGGACGAATTGTTCTTCTGTCGAATTTTCTTGTTCAGTCAAATTTTCTATCGCGTTTCGGCATCACCATCTTTATTTCTGGCTCAATTCTAATGTGCTTAACGCGTTCACGAGAAATGGTCTTAAAAAGTCATCCATATTTGGTCATGCTGCAAGTCTTTTTCATGAGAAAGATCATAACGACATTAAGTCCCAACAATGGGAAAAGTCACACCTGGCTGCTTAAATTGGTGTCCCCTAATTATCAAGCTTTGATATTTCCATCCTCAAGGAAGCATCCCCAGATATACCTGGAAGTAACAGAACTGATATAAAATTACCCCCACAATACACGAAAATTCTTCCCTTCCACTTATATAACAAGGGACTCAGCCCATATCCCCTTCTCCAAAGGTTTTAGGTTCATGCAAATACGAAACGTGAACATCATGTCGAACTCTGTGTTTGAAATTCTTTTACTTCTGGTTTCCCTCACGGTACAAGCATCAGGAGCTGCACCTGGACTTGCAAAGCCTGGCTGCAATGATACATGCGGGAACATCAACATTCCCTTCCCCTTCGGAATAGGAGCTGGGTGTTTCATGGATGAGTGGTACGAGATTGACTGCCAACAAAGCGGCATGGTTCCCATACTAAAGAAGATTGAATTGCCAGTTCTCAACATTTCACTCCCCAATTACTATAGATCCATGAACGGCATGATTAGCGTGAGGCTTCCTTTAATTTACTCAAATGTAAGCTGTGGGGGCGATGGATATGGCGTGCCAGTGAGCTTAGAAGGAAGTCAATTTGTCTTCTCCAAGACATGGAACATCTTTATATCGGTTGGTTGCAACACCCTGGCGACAGTGAATAGTACAGAATCAGCAGTTGTTGGTTGTAGGTCGAAATGTGCTGGAACAAATATCAGCCTAGATAGTGCTTGTTCTGGCAGGGACGGATGCTGCCAGACTACACTCCCCTCTAGCCTTCAGAGCATTAGTATAGATTTCAAGGAAGAAGGTGGACATCAGGTTTGCAATTATGCTTTCTTGGCAGATAGATCATGGTTCTTGAGATCTAACTCGACAGGTTTATATGATTTGAGATTGAAAGATACGGTTCGAGTGGTGTTGGAATGGGGGATTCCGAACACTACCATAGATGCACCTGAGCTTATCGGGCAAGTTCAAGCAAATTTCAGCTGTACCGGATACAACCTCTACGACCAGAATTTGTATCATTCAAGTGAAACAATGCCATTTACGCAATGCTATTGTGGAACAGGTTATCGTGGTAACCCCTATCTTCTTGGAGGGTGCCTAGGTATTATACTTTGTGCTATCACATTTCGTTTTTACATACTATATAGCGCAATGGCTTTTTCATTCCCAGATTTTTCTCTGAAATACATGCATTCACAATGTTTAATGATCACATACATGCTTTTCTGCCTCCTTTTTCCGTTTCTTCTTCCCAAGATTGTACAAAGTGAATGCACTTTCAAACAAAAAAAATTGAATGGATTATATTGATAAGAATTTACTGGAAATAGAGGGGAACGGGATAGTCCTTTCGTTACAAGCACAATATTTTAGCCATAGAATTAACAATTTATGAGGAAATGAGACCTACTAGTCTCGCTAATTATACTCAAGGAGATGCGTTTCGCTGCTAATATGTTTGTTTCTCATTTGTCATCAGATATTGACGAATGTGAAGGTTCCTATCGGTGCCTTGGAACTTGTATCAACATACCGGGCAGCTTTAAATGCGTCGATGGCAGAAAGAAAGCTACATTCATTCTTATTGGTAAGTATATCTTTTAACCTAGAACTTTGGACAACTTCATGCTCTTGAATATCCACAGAAAGAGAACAGATTCTCATAAATTATGATTAGAAAAGGTATAGAAATAAGTTTATCCTTCGTTTGACATTGATTTTCAAGGCGATTTCGATTTTTACCCAAGAATCGAGAACCGGTCCTATCCAGGTTCTTGGTTTACCGGACCTCCTGATCTTGAAACTATATCGGACCGGCCTGCTTCCCAGGTGGGTCCCATATTTCCCAGGTGGGTCCCCACTTCCAGGCTGTCTGATGTCCTAAACTCCACTTAAATCTCTTACTAGTGTTCAGTTTCTCTCTCTATCGCATTTACTTTTCTTTCCCCACAAGTCTGGTCCCACGTGTCCCCATCTCTCTCTCTCTCTCTTCTCTACGCAAACCTGCTTCCCCTCCTCCTTCCACAAACACCACCATGACAAGGCCGACATTTTAGAGAGACGATAAAAAAAATCTACACCTCCAATTCGCTCCGAGCTTGCTCTCGAGCCATCATGGATCCTCGCTTCTGTGGTGTCTCCTCCCTCCTCCTCATTGCCCCACCGGCCCCCTTCCAACTCCACGTGGGGTCAGATCAACTCCAACTCCGTCGTCGTCGCCCTCCTTGACTCCCACTACACCGAGCTCGCCGAGCTCATCGAGAAGGTCCTCCTTTTCCAGACCATGGAGGACATCGTCGACCGCTACAAAGAAGATGGCTCCTTTTGAGAGTCGAGCAAGAGGTACGCGACTCAAGCGAGAGAGGGAAAAAGCAATTAGCCGATTAGCATTTGCGATTGTGAAAGAGGCGTGAGAGCCGAGAGGGAAAAAGCAAGCGTGAGAGGGAATTGGGAAGAGCGATTAGGCTTACAATCACTGCTGTTTTTTTAAAGATTTTTAAGATATAAAAAAACATAAAAAAAAATAATCGGTCCAGTTTGGTCCGGGTGGTTCGAGTGGATAGTTCCATCCCTAAAACTGGAACCGTACTGAAAATTACCGATTCAAATTTTGTGAAACCGGAAACCGGATGGTGGCCCTGAAAACTGCCTAGAACCGACCGGTTCGGGCAGTTCCTATTGCTCACCTCTACTTCAAACATGATAGTTTGTTTGCTTGGTGATGATCACATATAAGTTTCAATCTAGTAACTGTTGGAAAAATTTGGTTGTTGATAAACATAGAACAGTAATTTATGGACTTTTTATCCTTCGATGTGTTATGACAATCGCTATCTTTAAGGTATTATTTGCCCTCATTATTGTTGCTGTCGGATTCAGAACAAATATATCTAAAAAGTATAAATCAAAGTCATAGAGAAACGAGTTCAGCAATTACTTAATTTTTCTCTTAGAATTTCACTTTGAATATGTTATCAAATTTGTGTGTGCAAATAAAAGAAAAGAAACTGCTACGAAGGAAATAGAGTTGTTGTTGTTATGAATAGTTGTGATGAACAATGTATGATTTGGTCCTATTTATAGAAAATCAATTAAAACATCTCTTGGGAATAGATATCTTATCCCCACCATCACCACTTTTCAAGAAACTATAATCAATTTTTATAATCAACCATCACTTCTCTTCATGTCAATAAGCGTTTCTTTTTATATCCAACAATCACTTCTTTTCATGATAGCAAACTATTCATCATCCCCTACTTAGTTTGTTATATATACAAATTTACATAAATTCATACAGATAAGAAGGAAACTGTCAAGATTTGAACCTTCAATTAGTGTAAATAATTTCATTAATGAAGTCAGTGGTAGCATTATCACAAATATGAATTTATACACATTTAGGCTCCGTTCGTTTGGCGGAAAATATTCTTCCGGAAAATATTTTCTGGGTTTTTCGGTGTTCGGGGGGCGGAAAACGTTTTCCGTGGGAAAATATTTTCCTTCCCCTCACAAAATAATTTGAAATCTACGGAAAATGACTTCCGCTTCTTCAAAAGCAGTAAATCATTTTCCGGAGCTTCTTCTTCTTCTTCTTCACTAAGATCGCCGGCCGCGCCCGCCACCGTCGCCGCGGCCGCCGCTGCCGCCGGACGCCGGACGTTGGCCGCTGCTGCCGGCCGCCCGGCCGCTGTTGCCGCCGGTCGCTGGCTGCCGGCTGCTGCCGGCAGTTTGGTCGCAGTCCGCCGCCGGACGCCGGACGTTGGCCGCTCGGTCGCCGCCGCCGCCGTCACCGGCTGGGCCGGACGCCGCGCCGCTGGGCTGGCCGCCGGGCGGCAGAAAAATATTTTCTAAAACTTTTTCATATTGATCGCCGAACACTGGAAAATTATGTTCCGGGAAAACATTTTCCAGGAAAATGACTTCTGGAAAAATATTTTCCAAAAGGAGAATATTTTCCGCCAAACGAACGGAGCCTTAGTGAAAAAATTATATGCCTTGGCACTTTTACAGCCTTGTGCTTACTCCTACATTCATGAACATTTACAAAAGTTCATCCGACTTTTGTTAAAAGTGGCACCACTTCTTATGTTCGTATAGGTGAAGTTTGTAACTTATTACCTTAGCATTGCCTTGCTAAAACCTTGAATTTTATTAATAGTACTTTCTTACACTCATCCTCCTAACAATCCATGAGTAATAATCTTGTACACCAATACTCGATTACTGTCAAGATACAATAGCCTGTTGTTACCCATTGAACTTTGTCAATTTCATTATAAATTATAAAGTTGGGTTTCAACTATGCTTAACTGTTATCAATTGGTCTACGACCCATTCCTTTGGTAGTACTGCTAGCTAAACCTCTCAAGAGTCCATTAGTGAATAAATCAGCCAAGTTATTATATACTATATGCCTTAGACATTGTAAAGATATGACTGCCATTGGTTGCTATCGTAATTCTTTATCCAATAGCAAATTTCGCAACCATTTAGCCTATTTACCAACCATCGGTAGTGCTATAAATTCATATTCTATCATTGAATGAGTTATACATGTTTGCTTCTTTGATGCCTAAGAGACTATATCATTTGCAAGCTTGAAAAAGCCATCCAGATGTCGACTTGTTATCAATTGTGCTAGTCATCCAACTAGCATCTGAATATCCTTTTAGTATTGCTGGTTGTCTTTTATTAGATAGGCCATAATGTATTGTTTCCTTTAAATAACCAAGAATTATAATTATGGCATTCCAATGCATAGTACTAGGATTATTACTAAATCTAGACAATTTACACATGATAAAGGAAGAGGTCTCACAAAATCTCACGCGCCTTCATGTAACAGTTTAAGCTTTTAAAACAGTTGACAGTGGTCCTACAAAATCTCACAGAAATAAATGTTACCTTACCCTTCGTTCTAATAGGATTGTCGTTTGTTTTCAATTTGATGTATTGTTCTATTTTTCCACGTGTCATGATTTGATTGAAGTGTTGAACTCAATTTCCAAGCTATGTTATTTGCATAAGATTATTTTTTTTCCTTGGAAATAAAACTTTTGTTAATCTATACGATGAACTTTTGTGGTATCGATGGTGAGATAAGTTTAGTAAGACTGGGATTGAAGTACCACACCGTTAAAAGTTAGTCACCAAATTGAGTAGATGGTTTACACAACATCTAGTAAATTTAATTGCATTCAATTTTGCTAAAAAGTTTTCTTTAATACGACCTCATTTCGTAATCTAAGTTTTTCCCATATAGTTGGTGGCTTCCTATGATGGGAAGAAATTGCTACTTGGCCAATGGAAAAAATATCCATAACTCAATGTGAGATTAATAGTTTTCCTGCTTCCAAATTAGGGAAAATGACACAAATAGTCCATGAACTTTAACCCAATGTACAATGTGATCCCTCAACTTTTAATTTGTTCAATATGGTCCTTAAACTTTAACTCAATGTGTAATGTGGTTTTTGAACTTTTAATTTATTTAATGTTGTCCCCGAACTTTTGATACATGTTCAATTTAGTCCTTGAACTATATTAAAATGTTCAATATAGTTCTTCCAATAATTCAAGTTTAGGGACTACATTGAACATGTACCAAAGTCCAAGGAACACATTGAACAAAGCAAAAGTTCATGAACAATATTGAACATGAAGCTAAAGTTCAGGAACAATATTAAATTAATTAAAAGTTTAGAGACCACATTGCACATTAGGCCAAAGTTAAGGATTGTCTGTGTCATTATCCTTCCAAATTACTCTATTTCTAGATGGATAGTTTAGCACGTGCTTTTTATGACTCTGTCCTCTGCTAAATTTTCGGACTGCAGTCCTCGGAGCGTGCGTTGGAGGATTAGTGCAAGTGTTGCTGCTCTCTCGGTGGTTATACAAAGTCATCAAGAAAAGAAGAGAAATTAAGCAAAAAGAGAAGTACTTCAAAACACAGTGGGGACTCTTGTTGCAACAACATCTATCTTCATCACCTGAAGGCAATGTTGCGAAAAGCAAATTATTCCACTTCAAGGATTTAGAGAAGGCTACTGACCGTTTCAACCAGGATAGGATACTCGGCCAAGGTGGGCAAGGTGTTGTTTTCAAGGGAATGCTGGCTAATGGAAAAATAGTTGCTGTTAAGAAATCGAAACTGATGGACAAGGAAAAGATTGAAGAGTTCATCAATGAGGTCATCATTCTCTCGCAAATCAATCACAGGAATGTGGTCAAGCTAATGGGTTGCTGCTTGGAAACAGAAATCCCGCTTTTAGTTTATGAGTTCATACCAAACGGGACTCTTTACAAGTATCTGCATGACCCGAATGAAGACCTTCTCATATCATGGGACACACGCCTACGAATTGCAACCGAAATCGCAGAAGCCTTATCCTACTTGCACTTGGCAGCTTCTATACCCATCTATCATCGTGATATCAAGTCCACCAATATCCTCTTGGATGAGAAACATCGTGCTAAAGTCGCAGATTTCGGTATTTCCAAGTCTGTATCCCCCGATGAAACTCACGTAACCACATTAGTGCGAGGGACTTTTGGATACTTGGATCCAGAGTACTTCAGAACAGGTCATTTTACAGACAAAAGCGATGTGTACAGCCTAGGAGTGGTCCTCGTTGAACTCCTAACAGGGCAAATGCCAATCTGTCAGCTTAGGGAAGAAGGAAGGAGCCTCGCGGACTATTTTATCAATTCGATGGAGCAGAATTGTTTGTTTGATATTGCTGATGCTCGAGTTATGAAGGAAGGAAAGAAAGAAGAGATTACCGCAGTTGCTAACCTCACAAGAAGGTGCTTGAGCTCGATTGGGTGGAAGCGGCCGACAATGAAAGAAGTGGCAATGGAGTTGGAGGGAATAAGGAAGCTCCGAAGCTCTTTGAGCTTCCAACAAAATCAAGAAAAGATCAAGGTCGCTGAATCTCGTGACTCTATTTTCACATCTGGCAAATCTTTCGTGGACATGGGTGTAACTACATTTTCAGATGAGCAGCCACTCGCACATTGTGAATCATGGTGAAGGCAACACTTTCTGGCATCATATCCGCAACAATTTCTGGCTATACATGCAGAGGCCAATGATAAGCCGCAACAAAATTTATCTTTACCCGTACCTCTTACCCTTAACAAATAAAGGGGAACTTGCCCTTCGTCTAGTCAATTATAGACAGCTTTTTAAAGTCGTTTCCTTGTTGCTGGTGTTGGGATCAAAAGAGTGTTTGAGCACTACCTTTTTCAAGATTTCTCTGGCTCGGTGTCCGGGTTTGACGTAAGTACTATATTTCTGTTTATATGCCAAAAAGAACGAGCTGCAAAATCATCCTGCTAATATATGATGAAGTGGCTTATTACATTTCGAGGATCCTCGGATACTTGTCTTTAATCCAGTTACTGTGAGGATTATATTACAGTTGCACGCGTACTCTTGGGAACAAGCGTTCTAATTGCATCAACCTTTATCTCGTGTGGAGAAAAGTGTGATACGATTTCAGTTTCAGGTAAACATACAAAATTCTATGGTCCTTCGGCTAAAAAAACTGGAAAAATTCCGTGTGGGATGAATTTCAAAGTTACTGCAAATTTCCAATCTCGTTGGTAGAAAAATATAATTGGTAACTTGCTTGTCAAGAACCGATAATAACTTACCAACACTACCAGAAAATTATCAACGTTCCAATAAAGTAGAAAATTACTAACTTCTCTGAAATTTTACTAGTATTGTAACAACTATCAACTAGCAAGGATTCTACCAACATATCAAAGAAGTAGTAAATTCCTAACTTCTTAAAATTCTACCATCATGGTTAATCACTTATCACTACTGTGAAGAATTTATCATCATTCTAATTCAGTACTAAATTACTAACTCTTCTGAAATTTTATTAGTGACGTAAGTATATTGACAATACTACCCAAATTTTTTTAATAAAAGGGAGCCACCTTACTTCTCCTGGACAAAAATTTACTTCGTTGTGGTCCGGTGTGGCGTGCTCGCTCTGATGAGGAGCCAGGAATCGGAACTGGCCATGATAGGCTGCGAGTCCAATTGTAACAGTGGCCGAACCAACGTTGGTATTACGTACAGCAACTGTTCTGGGAACGATTATGTTGCCAGCAGCTAGGGATCCCTTAAAACCTTTAGGAACTGGGTGTGAGTTTCTGGGAAGAAACAGGTGAAGGATACAAGTTTCCGTTCCTCACGCACCATCAATGAAAAGGAGACCAAACTTGAGGTGGGTAAAAGAGTCGTTGGGATCATTGAATCATGTCCCAGTGGCACTAGATTGGGCAACAGACACCATGTCACCTAAAACATAACTGACCGTGCTAATCGAATACTATATAACCTAGAGGGCCGCCTTGAGTATCCCGTAAAAATTACACCATGTCACTTATCCAAACATTTTAAAATTAACGAAAAACAAGTTAACTGAATTGTATTTTATTAAGAAAATAAGAAAAATGAATCCAAACTTAAAAACCCCAAACCGGTACACCTGTGACAAATTAGCCCTCCATTAACTTCCGTTGGATTTTACCGTTAAATTTGCCGACGTGGATGACGTATAGTGACATTATGTGACATTCTAAATTTCGATCCACTTGGTATTTATAAAATGCATAATTTCAATAACGCACTTGTAGTAAATCTCGCCTAGACTTGATCACTCTTGGGACACTAACTAGTAGGGAAATGCTAATTAGGGATCTAGATTCATGTGACCATAGAACCTAACCATAGACTGAATTTCTACCATAAGGATTATCGAGGTGATATTTTGAGCTAATATAAACCGATCTAAGAATGGTCATGAATCGATTTGCGAATGTCGTATAATTGGATCGCGGGTGATTCCGCCTCGCCAGAATACGAAATTTGCGAACGATCTCAAACCTATTCCAAACGATCGCGTTCTTTAGAACTAGTGATTGATCCTCGCAATTACATGACAATCGAGGTTGCCATGGCTCAAGTGAACTTAAACGTGGCTCGATTTAGTATCGACCATGGGTCGAATGTACGAATTTTCCCGAAAGCCACCCGTTAGTTTGAAATAAGCTCAAGTCGCGTGTATTTGAGTTTGGCCATTAAATAGAGACTGAGTTTGGGTGTTGAAAATTTTGAAAGTGATGACAGAGTAATTGGATGACGTCGTTATTAACGTGGTCAACCTCAGATTTGTCCGGATTCGTCAGAAAACTGAAATTTTGACAGGAAGTGGAAAATGACCGTTTTGCCCCTGGGATTTTGTGAAGACCAAGTGTAATGTGAGAAGGGCATTTTGGTCATTTCATACTAACTTTAGAGATATAAATTTTTGGACGATTTTGCCCCTTTACTTTTTGTGAAATTCCAATTTTTCCCTTGGATATTTTTTGTGAGAGTTGATCTTGGCCGTCGATTTTTGGATAAGATTGAATCTTGGCCATTGAACGGAAAGTTGAGAGGGGGGTAGGATGGTAATTTTGGCTTGGGGTAGGACACCAATTATTGGTGTCACTTATATAAATTCTTTTCCTCTCTCTTTCTCTCTCTCCCTCTCATTCACGCCTACACCCTCTCCCTCTCCTCTTGGCCGAATTTCCCTCCCCCTCTTCCTCACGTGAAAGTGGCCAGCTGGCCACGCCTTTGGCCGCCGCCGCACGTCCGTTCGCCGCCGTCCGTCCGTGGTCGCCGTGAGGCCGTCAGCGCCCCTCGCCGCTCGTTGGCGCCACCGTTGCTGTTCTCCCTTGTTCCGCCACCCTTGGTTGCTAAATCTAGCTTAGGACTCTAGGTAAGTGATATCCTAACCCTCGCCTAGGATAACAGGTAATTTCGGGTTAGTTCGTGGCCGTTTTAGCGAGTTTTAGGGGTTATTTGTGGAGAAATTGGTGGACTGAGTTGGCTGAGTTGTTTGGATGGATTTGTGATAATTTTAGAGGTGGAATTGAGGTTAGAATTGATTAAGTTGGTGATCGGGGATGATTACGAGTTATTATCGGGAATTATTGCATAAAAAATGGGCCTAAATGTGATGTTTTAGTGATTTTTCTGTGGTGGCCGAGTTGACGTGCTTATTGTGGCTGAATTGCGGCGTGTTTACGTTTGAATTACTATATGTGGTGAATCAGGATTTGTGGCATGAGTGCGACGCTCTTGATTGGTGAAAATTAGCCTAGAATACGAAAATTGTGTTAAATTGAGCTTGTGCAAGTGGAATTGATGAATTTGTGGGTTCATGTGGCTTGTGGGTGATTTGAACACTTTAGGTGTCGTGTGCGAGTTGGTCGTGTGAAATTGGCATGTGATGTGGCGTGCGCGTGATCACTAAAAACCCTAAGGCGTGTACTGTAACGCGGGGTCCAGATAAAATGTGGTTTGTCGACGTGCTCACTTGTTAACACCTAATTTTTAGCCGACGCGTCATTAAAAGTAGAAAAATCGAGATTATGGTTTCCGATCGCGACGGAACCCGTTTCTTGAACAAAAAGTGTCGCTTTTTAATTCTGTTTGTTGGCCTAGCTTCTGTAAACAATTTTCTATTCATTTCATGCAAAAACCCGAAAAGTCAAACGGTTGACTTTCGAGTTGACTTTTTGGTCAACCCTTTGACAAAAAGTCAACCCCATGTCAAGTTGGGGCTTTTTGCATAAAAAGATTCATTTCAAGTTTAATTTCACTTTAGAAGTGAAAATTCCAGAAAAATTCAAAGATTTGATTATAAAATCAAGCGCCTAGTGAAAAGTCAACTAGGTTTGACTTTTGGTCAAACCTTTGACCAAAAAAAATTGAAAAATACAAAAATCCAAAAATCATCTTATTTTACATTCAATTTGCCTTTGGCATTTGAAATTTTACAAAAATCGATTTAGAATCAACTTTTTCCCAATTTGCGGAATTTGGTTCAAATCGGCCAAAAATGAAATTACTTCATTTCTAGTCGTTTTTTAGGTTGGTTTTCTTCACGACATTTGATCTAGAGGTCATCTTATATTCAATTTTGGAACAAATTTTGTAATTCCAATCCAAACGCAAAAATCCCCAATTTTGGCCATAATCAGCGATTTGGATCGATTCTTCGTGATTTGCGCAATTGAGGCACGAATGAGCCTAATTTCTTATATCAAATCCAAATTCAAAATGAATTTTGAAAGATTCACATGAATTTGAGTCAATTTGATCAATTTAGTGATCCAATGATTAAGAAGTCTAAGAGTAATTGGTCCAATTAGTGCAATTCAACTTGACCCATTCTGGACTAATATTCAATTTGATGAATTGAGACTCAATTTGGCTAATTGGACTTCAACTAAATTCGTTAGTCTAACTTGGCCATGCAATTATCCAAATTCAAGAATAATTGAGCTAAATAAGTTAAATTCGATCAATTTGTGCATGAATTTCAAATCGGTTCAATCCAATTCGATCGAATTCAATATTAATGGGGTCAATTAATCATGATAGAGATCAAATTATACAAAATTGGAACAAATGGAACCAAGGATTGAACCGGTTCAACCCGGCCAAACTCGGGACAAACCGGTTCAACTCGGTTTGATTCGAATTGAACCGATCCGATCGGACTGGCCATTTTCCGGTCGAAAATCCGGCGATCGACGGTCCATTCCGACCAGCCAAGGCCGGCCACATCCTTTTGAGCCCAAAAATGACAAAAATGCCCTTAATTGAAAATTACAAAAATGCCCCTAAGTAAAATTACTAAAATGCCCTTCCTTAAGGATTAAGCAAATTAATTAGGGGATAAGCAAATCAAGCATGACCATTCATTTAGAATTGATCATGTACATCCATAATGCCATGTCACCAATCCTTAGCCCTTAAGAAATATTCTTAATCATTAAGGATGCATTCTAGGCTATTGGATCAATCTAAGGGCTAGGATTCAAAGTTGAGGGGAGTATATAGTTTTTTTTCCCTCCAAAATTGGAGGAGGACTCTCATTTTTCAGATTTGAATTCTCTCTCCTCTCTTCTCTCTCTCTCTCTCCCTAGTTCATGCATCTCTCTCCCTCTTGCTCTCTCTCTCGGCCGCCGGCCTTTCCACCTCTCGCCGGCTGTTTTCCGACGAGTCGCCGCCTCACCACCGTCCTCCACGGCAGCACAAGGCTGGTCACAAGACCAGTTGTCCTTGCTGGTGTCTTGAACTCCTCTGTCCAGCGTGATCTCCCCCACGCCAGCATCACCGGCATAGTCGCTGGTGATTGAATCAGCCGGTTCAAGCGGCTGAATCGGCTGATCGGCGATCCCTCCGGCATTCCCGAACCTCCAGCAGCCTTCCTTGGTGTCTTCACGTGGCTATGGTGGCCAGCTTCCCGCTGAATAGCCACCAGATCGCTTCTGTCGACTTGATTTTTCGTTATTAGTTCATTAACGCGAAATCGAGTCGGTTCTCACTATAACTTGTGCACTCTATTCTCATAGGTTTGTTGAGCTTTCCAAGACTTCTCCGTGCTGCTCTTGATCTGAATACGGAGACCGGATCGTTCGATTGCGCGTCGAAGCATCATTAAATAAGGTAAGTACACTTGGATGTTATTCTGTAAATTCGTGTACAGAGAAACCTACATGTTTGAGACGCTGATTTCAGCTCGTTAATGTCGAAATCTTGCGAAGTGATGAACTAGAGAATCGTAAAACACGTCTCAAGCTTTGATTTGATATATTGCATGCCTCAATCAGACTTAGTTTTCTATGTCAAAACTCTTTCGGAGGTTAGGATCAGAATTTGGAATGTGATGTTCAAGTCTGTTCTGATGATCTCCTGATTGACGTTGTGCTGTTCTATGATTTTTATGATTTTCTACGATCGTTTTTTGAAGAAACTTTCTCATGAAAGTCGTAGAACACATCTTAATATGTTCATCATAAAATTTTCATAAAATTCCAAGCATGTTAGGATTGTACGATCTGCAACGTCATATTGCATAGATCTGGTGACAGACTAGTTTCTGACTCATCTTCATGTGTTCTTCAATTTTTATATATTCATGTATTCAAAATATGACAAGATTTTCTACACAAAATTTCACACTGAGATCGAGATATTTTCAGTGATACTAATTTCATCAAAATCGGAATTCATTTGAATTTTCAAAAGGAATTTTTATGATCTAATCAGTATCTGTGTTCAGATCTGATTTTCATTCCTTTGGAATACAAAAGATGTTTCTTCGAATTTGATAAAGTTAGAGTCCTCCTTTACGAAAAATCAAAACCACAAAGTTGTTCCTTGGGCTCTCATTATGTTGACTGGAAATTTTGAGGGCCTAATAGCAATTTTTAGATGGTCAATTTGCTGAAAATTTCATATAAGGTCTTCTCGGGTTAAAATTCGATTTGCAGTTGAGTCCTTTGTGAAAACCGAACTTTACAAAAATTTGGAGGACTTTTTGGCAAAAACTCAAAACATGAAAGTTGTCACACACGGAGAATCCTAACTGTATAAAAATTTTCATGCGGTTTTGATAAGTTTTGTTATTTTTCCCGCTATTATTTTGAAATCCCTAACAGAACCGGGTCCAGTCTCTCACCGATAGTGAAATTGTCTGTTTCGTGAAAATCGGTGGGGATTTAGAAAAAAATGGTCTTCTTAACTTTTGATCCTCATGACATAAGCTTTCTAATGAAACCTGAATCACTTCATTTGGACATCATTAGGTTAGTTAATCACATCTGAACAGAAGCAATCTGAATTAGATAATAACTGAATAAGTGGTCTCCTTATAAAGCCCACTTCCCATTGCTTGATTGGTTGAGAAATAAGGCCCATGGGCCTGAATGCATGCTTATTCCATTGCTATGCATGTGTTTGTTAGATGGACGTTAGGCCGGGTGCATGTTCGGCGGGTAGCCCATTATGGTCATTTAGAACCCGACTTTAGGGGTTAATTGATATGAGTTGCCGTTTTGTGAATGCAAATGGTAGCCCATTATCGTTAACCATTAATCAAATAATGTCAGATGATTAGGTGGGTGGTGAATCGAAATGCATGAAAAACAAAGGCTGATCCCGAGGCCCGTGCTTAATTAGTGAATTGTTTGCACCATTTCTTTTCTTTGGTTGTTCCTTTGTGCATTGTTTGTCGTGAATGTATGTTGTGAATCTAAACGCCGACACCTGAGAGGCGATCCATGGAGGGGATAATCCAAATTGTAAAAGACCAAGGCGATAGACCGATGTCCAATCCGGTCTCAATTTGTATTCACTTGATGGTGGCGATAGACCGATGTCCGATCCGGTTTCAATTTGTATTCACTTGATGGTGGCGATAGACCGATGTCCGATCCGGTTTCAATTTGTATTCAATTCATTCATCCTTGATCATGTCTCGGGTTTTCAATTTGTGTTGTAATAAACACCCGACGAGTTGCGGGTTTTACTTTCTCATACTTAGAATTAGCTCGTCTTTTCAATATTTTGAGTGTTTACTTTACGAAATGTCTTTCAATATAATTGATTGTTTCTTTCTTTTTCTAGACTAAGATAGGATTAGTTTAGAATCTTAAATGAAAACACAAAAAAAAAGATGCATGATCACTTAGTGGATTAAAACTTTAGCATGAAAATGGTAAAGAACAAATGCATGACAACTTAGATAACAACCATGTTAAGTTTAGCGGTACCGAAAGGGCTTTTATAGAAATATTAACGTAAGCTAGTCCCCGAACCTTTGATCTCTGGTTTCGTAGAAACCAATACGAAATTCCTGCGTATTGATTAGGTATTCTAGCCGACCTTCGACCTAGGCTAGTGGCGACTCCTAAAGATAAAATTAATCCGCTATCACGCGAGGTATGAATTAGGGAAGATTCACGTTCATGAATAATGGACCATACGGATGAGCAATCTTTTATGATGTACCGTATGGACCATTTCATGAACACTTACCTCGAAACCCGCCTCATCGAGTTCGGCCCTCAAGAGGTAAGTCGCGACAGGCTTGGCGACTCCACTGGGGACTAGGTTACAAACCTAAGTGGATTAAAGCCGTAATAAACTTGTTGGTTATTATCTCACTTGTTTACATTTTGTAGCATCGTCTGCATGTCGAAGGCGCTTGGAAAATGAGGTTAGTCCGCTAACCATGTGTTAAATGGTTTTTTAAGTGGGAGATATAAGGGGTGGAGTGAGTGCAAATCCCTTGTTTTGTAGATGGCGTTCGGATGTATGTCAAATGTATGAGATTATATTGAAGTGTTCTTTGTTTTAGATTTAAACGCATGTTTACTTGCTTTAGCACAACACAATGCACCCACGTCCCGTGGTCTAAAACCCCGGATCGCTTTTAGGGCACCTTTAGGAGGTATTAAGAGTGGAATCCGCATGAGAATGCATGTGGTAATCCATTCTTCAATATCGCTCATCTTGATTAGTAAAAAGTGCACCGACTGACATTAGTAGCGGTGGGTAAACTCTTCTTATCTAATTAAGGTGGGGACCTTAAACCTTTAGAATCCTACCCTTAGATGTCAAAACTCACATGTCCTCATGCGACGTGTCGATGTGTTTGCCATTTTTTTTCCTTCTTTTTCTTCGCGGTAAGGTTGATTGTATCGTTCTGCAATTTCAATTACGTCATTCCATGTTATATTTCTTTCTATAATGCGTGGTGATTAATCTTGATGCCTCAAATTAAGGTTAGTCAAAATGGATATGTCGGAGATTCGAATGATCCCCGTACTTAGAGCTCTCGTGACCATGTGGGAAAGTCTCGAGTCAAAGCACAAGGACTACGTGGAAAAGAGGATCGGATATCTTCCCGCACTTTTATATATCGAGCCTCGTGTTGCTATGATCAAAGCATTGTCCCATTTTTGGAACTCAAAGACATCCACTTTTGTGTTTGGTCGAAACGAATTGATCCCTATAATTGAGGAGTACGATATTGCCATTGGAAAAGTCGGGTCTTTTGGTCTAGTTAGTCCTCCGATAGATATAGATCCTATAACTCTTTTGAGCCAATTCTTAGGAGTTGACATTCTCTAAATCAAAGGCGTTCTTAGAGGAAATTCTAATGCACTCCCTTTTACATTCTTAGAACGACATTTTTCTAACTTGCCAAAAGAAGCGGGTAATCAAATTCTTCGAGTCTTTCTCTTAGCATTCTTTGGTTTTGTGGTCTTTCCATTCACCAAAAAGACCATGGATCCTTTGGTAGTTCACATTGTCAATCAAGTGTGTATGTTCAAAAGATTCTCCAATATGATTCTAGGTGAGACCTTCGTATCACTCAATAAGTTCAAACAAAACAGAAATGGTATGTTTAGAGCCCCAATAGGTTTACTCCAAATTTGGTTGGTGTCTCACCTCAAAGACTTCGGTTTGAGCTTGAAAATCATAGATGTGTCCAAAAATTGTCATCCTATCTCGCTCTTCCTAGAAAAGGAAGAAATCTTTCCTTATTGGTCATTCTCAACTTGGTTTAATTTTTTTAAGAAACTTGTTCCAAATCAAATCCAATGGCATGTTCTTTGGCTTGGAAATCCCGAGGTACGCCTTAATAACGGATCCGACAACCCAATCCCACTTTTGGGTCTCACGGGGTCTACGTCATATTACCCTTTTAGGGTGATCCGTCAATATCGCGCGCTTCAAAAGAATCCGCCATTCCTCAAGTTGGGGTTATATCATTTTGACTATCACAAAGATGTCATCCAAAAGGGCCAAATGGCGGATTTGAAGGAAATGATCAAATCCATCATTGATACGTGGTACAAATGCCACCCATAGCCGATTCTCATTACCGACGAGTCAGAATTGGAAGGGGAAATGAAGATACATCATGCATTGCCGGAGTACATACACCGTCGCCTCGAGCTTGAGCTTAAAGTGGATCTCCCTAATGTCCCCGAGAAGCCAACTCAACAACAAGCTATAGCCGCAAGAGCTCTTAAGGAAAAGGATGAGGCTTTAGCCGAAGTTGAACGTTTGACCCAAGAAAACAAACGAATTTGCCTCGTGCCTAAAGAAGATTCATTAGGAGTTTGGCTATATTCCATGAGGAAATCTCCGTTCATGTAATTTTCATAGATTTGATGTATAGGGTTTCCTTTTTACTCATTTTAGTAATAATGTAATAGGATTCTCTTCTTGTTTTTAGATTGATCTATAGGGATTGTATTTCACGAATTTTGTTATTAATAGTGAAATTTCCCTTGTGTGTACTTTCTTTTCCGAGATTCCAATGAAATATAGATGGGGCATCTTGATTAATCATCGCGTGTTACCCCTTTAATTGTATAATTTCTTGTGAAGAAATTGTGATAAGAGATTATTCACATGATATTGCCACAGTAGTCTGGGTAGATATAGGACAACCCATTTGACAAGCCCATACTTATACAGGGTGGTGCTTTCGGGAGGGTATGAACGAGTTCGGTCCGGTTGGTGGTTTCGATGCCCCTCTTGATGGAGTGAGAGATTGGGATCCATCAGCTATACGTCCTCCTGATGGGGAGATGACCAGCCTCGACACTAGCCTAGCACAGTCAGATCATCAGCCTGTACCTGCAGAACCCGAACCCACGGTGGCTGAGCTTGAACCGGAAGCGGAAGAGTCACAAGCAGGGTATGATCCGATGGACGTGGATTTAGGAGAAGAGCTCAAGGAGGAACCCGCAGAAGAGGAGCCCGAAGAAGAACCTGAGGGAGAACCCGAGGAGGAACTTGAGATGGAGCCTGAAGAAGAACCCGAGGAAGAACCGGAGGAGGAACCTGAAGAAGAGGAGCTGATTGAGGTCCCATTGGAGTCGGGAGATGAAGATAATCTGATTGAGATTGAGGCGGATTCTAAGTCGTCAGAGGAGCAGGTGGATCAAGGAGAGTCAGATTCAGGTTCTGGGGAGACCGATTTAGAGTAGACACCGTCTAGAGGCCGTAGGGGTTAGTAGGGGTAGGGTAACCCTTTTTGAAGTGCCCCTTTTTGGAGTTAGTATATACCCAGACTACTTATCCCTTTTAATGTTGGTGGTACGAACTTTAGAAGCCGGTTTGCGTGTATAATATGTTTATGGTGAATATGGTGGGTGTAATGAAGTGGTTTGTTGCTGGTTGTGATGGATTGTAATGGATATTATATATATCGCGGTGTAATATAGTGCTTGGTGATTTGGTGATTTGTCTCTCCCTATTACCCCATGATTATATTGTCAGGGTTTATGTTCTCGTTTCCGCCGTGTTCGAACTCAGATGTGTTGATTTGGGTCGGCGACGTTTCCAAGGACGTCGCACTAATTCGACCGAGCTTGAGGTGTCGTGCGCTCGTCGGGGGTTCGGGGTGTGACACATTGTACGGTGACGTGGAAATTCATAGAGTTAATATCACGAAAAATCTCATACTAATACAGTCAATTTTGTCACAGGTGCACTAATATGGGTTTTTTAGTGGTATTAACCTTATGGATTTTCCGTGGACTAGCCACATCACCAATTTATAATTAAATTTGTTACATGTATACTAGTTTAAGATTTTTTGTGATATTAATCCAATTTAAATTTTTATTTGCGTTTGTAATAATTATAAAAAAAATTAATGTAAATTAACATGCCCGCATTGATACGTGACAAAAGTCCTTGGTACTTCAGATAAGAAAAAAAAAATCTAAAACGCACACACCACAAAATTTGCAAAAAGGAAGAAAGTCAAATGCAAAGGCCACCCTTGACAGCATTGTAAATCTGCGACCATAAAGTTTCCTCGACGGTAGAGATGAGCATGAAACAACCTCACTATGGAATTGTTACTTTATTATATGAGAACTGCACTTCGAACCCCTTCCGGAGATTAACGTAGTTTGTTGGGGATATCAAGGGACTTCCGACTAGGAATCAAGGATCGCTCGTTCAAATCTCATAAACTTTATACAAACTTGTTTTGTGATTTAGGAGGGGGGCACGTTGAACTTAACCCCACAGACCTTCAGATAATCGGATCCATGTACTAGTGCCCCTAGATTATAGACCAGAGAACTACATTTCAATTATTGGAATCTACAAAAATAATTTTTCTCCAAAACTTATAATAAAAGGATTTATACGGCATATATGATTCTAAGTGCCGATATTCGTCTAAATTTTTTTTTATCGACCATTTTGATTTAAATTTTTTAAAAAAAGTTCAAAGTGCTAAATTCACGAATCAAACTAATCACACAAAAGGAGTCAAAACATATCCACTAGACCACGGGCCCACAAAAATGGTAAAAAGGTGAGATTACAGAGGGGGACCAATTTAAAGCCCCTCAAGGGTGGGGGTTGAACGGTAATTTCGCCCCCTTCTCCTCCCCCCAGCGCAGGGACTAGCAGCCAGGCGATGAACGAAACGAAACAGCGCGCGACGCCGTCGTTTTGAGGCAAAATCGCGAGAAAATTTAGAGTGAAATCGACGGGCTTTCGCATCCAATTTCCCCAAGCTTGCTCCTCCAAGCAAACTTCCCCCCCTCCTTCAAATCGCCATTCCTCAACGATCCCGTATGAATTCCCAGAAGCCGTGAGCGAGCTTCCTTCCATTCTTCGTCTTCGGGTCAGTCCTCTCTGGCTCTCCTGATTTTCTTTCGTGGGTCGTCTCCTTCTTTCCGTGATTGCTTGCTGATTTTTGAAACCCCGTTTTGATTTGACGTGCTCTTGTACGTCTCCTCGCGTGCGGATACGGTGAATTCACAAGTGTATCGATTTTGGGGTTTTCGCTTGTTTCACCGCTCAACTAAGATTTATTATTGATTTTTCGAAGTTCGAATTTTCCTGGACCTGCTTGTCCCCCTAGATACTCTCCTTAGATTGTCTATTTCTTGAATATTTTCTACTTAAACTTCACAGGTGCCAAATTATTTGAGTAAGAACTTTTCTATTCGGTTTATTATATTTTCACATGCTCATTAAACCTGTTTGCTGAAAAACATCAGTAAACGTGATTTTTTAAAAGTTTATTCCTTTACTTTATTATATTTATCCTTTCAAAATCTCAATGTTTAGATGCTATGTTTATTTAAGAATCACCTCCAAAACTAAAAGTGAGAAAGAGGGATCATGACCAATATTGGCTTCTTTTTATCTTAGCTTTTTTTTTTTTAACTCCAGGATTTGTTTTTTTCTCGTTGAATCCTTTATTTTTCATAAATTTGAAACCCTTTTTTAAAAGGGAGAGTTTCATAAATGGTCACACAGCTCGTAAGCTTACTTCTCGCAAACCCCAAATCTTCTTCCCAAAGTTCACTGTCCACCTAATTGGGCCTCTCTTGCAGCCAGGGCCCCCTTCATAAGTCTCCAATTGAAAAGGAACTGGCAAAGCGTGGCCCACTAAATGCTACACAATATAGAATTGAAATCTCAAATTGAAACACGAAAATCGAGAGTTGGATTGTTTCACTCGATCATATCCCCGGACACGCCATTGATTTGCTGGGCCTTGTACTAGTTCCTGATGGCATGCTACCCCATTCCTAATTTCGTTAAATGTATTTGTCCTTCGTTGTGATACTTTATTTTATGTGGATTTTTGGGAAGAGGTCATTCGCGAGATGTTTCTCCACTTCGAATTTGTAGACTCTTCAACTATTAGGTGTTGAAAGAAATTGTGTTAACTTGGAAGTTCTGAACATTGATTATAAGAACATGAGGATTGATTAGACAAGCGACCATTGTTTATTATCATTGCACTTTACACGGTAGTCTCACATCTACTACTAAATATTAGGTTTGAACTACAACTACTTAGTACCACATGAAATCCTAGAGACAAGCTCATCAACATAGCCTCACCGGCGTGTGAACAGTCTATAATTCTCTCCACATAATGTAACAGTACCCCATGAGCACAAGTTTGTTAGTATTTCGATCATGATATAGCGAGAACTTGTGATTTTATGGACAATAGGTGAGCACGAGACCACTGACCCAGCCAACCTCACCGTTGGCCCACCAACAAGAAGCTTGTGGGCTAAGGAAAGTCATCTTCAATGGAATTAATAGCTAAGGAACGATCGTCTAACTATTCTATCACGGATGGAGACCAAATCAATGTCATGTTTGAATATAAGTTCTCTTTGATCACTATAAGTGGGGTCGGCGGTACCCTGGGATATCGCATCATTCGACAAGAGAGGAATGTCGCGATCTCGTAGGGGTTCGGGGCGTAACAGTGGATGCCAGCCAATGCTAACGTGGCAATTTTTTAGTATATATTTTTATTTTTTTCCTTTGTTTTCTTTCTCTTTCTTTTTTTTCTTTCCTTCTTCTCTTGGTCAATCGCCGGACCGGCCAGCCTCGCCGGCCATTGGGGAGTGGTTGCACATCCGAAAATGTAAAGACATCCAAATTAATGTTTGACTTGCTAGATGGAAAAGCAACATCATAAGATTCAATTGCCTCGCGATTCTCTTGATTTTGCTGAATACCCAAAGGATTTTGGAGCTTCCTTATCCCTTCCAACTTCATTGCCACTTCTTTCATTGTAGGCCGGTTACTCCCATTCAAGTATAAGCACCTTTTTGCAAGGTTAGCAACTGATGCAATCTCTTCCTTCTTACCTTCTTTTGAAACTTGAGCATCCACAATGTCGAACAAGCGATTTTGCTCCATCGAAATTATGAAATAGGTTGCGAGGCTTCTTCCTTCTTCTTCCCTCATAGACGAGATTGGCTTTTGGCCTGTTAAGAGTTCAACAAGGACAACTTCAAAACTGTACACATCGCTTTTGTCTGTGAATTGAGTTGATTGGAAATACTCGGGATCTAGGTAACCGAAAGTCTCCTGCACCAATATGGTTACATGAGTTTGATTGAGGGAAACGAACTTGGAAGTACTGAAATCTGCCATTTTTGCCCGATATTTCTCATCCAAGAGGATATTGGTGGACTTGATGTCTCGATGATAAATAGGAATGGAGGTTGCTGAATGCAAGTAAATTAAGGTTGCTGTGATTTCAATCGCAATTCGTAGCCATGTGTCCCACGATACACGAAACTCGTCATTTGGGTCGTGCAGGTATTGGTATAGAGTCCCGCTTGGTAATAAATCATATACTAAAAGCGGGACTTCCGTCTCCAAGCAACACCCCAATAACTTAACCACGTTCCTTTGGTTAATTTGTGAGAGAATAAGGATTTCCGTTAACATTCCCTTGTAAAGAGTACCTTGCTCACCTTGCCCGAGTATCCTATCATCGTTGAAATTGTTCGTGGCCTTCTCTAAATCCTTGGAGTTGAACAATTTGCTTTTCTCAACAAAGCCTTCTGGTGAAGATAGCTCACTTTCGAACAAAAGACCGCCATTGCATTTGAAGTATTTCTCTTTGAGCTTGATTTGTTTTCTCATCTTGATGTATTTGTACAACCTCCATAAGAAAAGACACAAACGTAGTGCCCCAAGGCCTGCCCCAAGCCTTGCATTGCAAAACTTTAAGGTGCACAAGTGAGCAAAATGTACCAATCTATTAAAGAAACTTATCATAAAAAAATTAAGTGAATCTGATTATAAGAAAACATATAGAAGTGATTAACCTGAGTCTCCTTTCATGTGGATTTATCTTAACAACCATGAAAAATTAATTTGTCTCCTGTTTAACTTCCATCCGGCGAAATTTTTATGCATACATCTGCACTGTACAACTGATCTCCCCTACAATGAATTTAACAAACCATTGATGAAAGTCAAAATGTTCCTACCAGCATTCATCTTGATTATAACTGTAATTATTCCAATTCAAGAATAAGTAGGAACCTTGGATATGTTTTAGTAGATATGAAGCGGCGACATTGGAAAAGTTCAAGTGTTTTCTTATCTATCAAATGTAAGTATAAGTGTGGAAAGAAAGTTTTGAGGTCAGTTTGGCGGTTGCTAGATTGAAACTTATCTGTAATCATCA